TGCATTTGTTGTCATGTCTCCTAAACTGTAAAATAAATGCAATGTTTTCGATTTGAACTGCTACTTCATTGCTTCATTTCCTGGATTATATTATCTTGTTAAACAATGTGCAGTACTGAAAAATCTATTAGTCTCTGTTGTTTCATGTCTCAGCATTTTATATAATGTTAAGAAAAGTGCAAGATGAATAATGTTATTTTTAAGAAGGGTCCATGTCTGTTAAAAGGTAAGTTTGGCATTTTGGAAAATAAGCTTATTCACTTTATTTCAGGGAAGTAGATGAGATGAAGGATACAAATCTAATTTCTTCTTCTTCTTTCGGCTGTTCCCGTTAGGGGTCGCCACAGCAAATCATCTGCTTCCACCTAACTCTATCCTCGGCATCCTCTACTCCAGCAGTCCCCAACCTTTTCTGTACCAGGGACCGGTTTCATGCATGTGGGTAGAGGAGCGGGGGTTCCAATAACAAAAACCTTTGTCAGTTCATAGTATATAATCTGAATGCAACAATTACACTTTATATTAGGCGATTACAATAATTCTACACTATAATATCAACTCACCAAAATGTAGAGTCAGTGGGAGCCCTGGGCTTGTTTCCCTGCAACTAGAAAAAAAAATTCCAAGGGCTTGTCTTGGTGTTTTGTCTCAGTGTGGCAAAGCATTTTTTGAGGGTTTCATGGCTCCATTAGCTGGTCGGTCACCGTAAATTGTACATAGTGGGTGTGGAGCTTGTGTATCGCCTGTTGCGATGAACCCGTAACTTAGGTAGGAATCGTGGTATTTTCTTTTAAATGCAGCTTTCTTTTTGCTGGCAGTCTGTGACCCTCCTGCTGTCCCATCATTTGCTCGTTCCTTCCCGAAAAAGCTCTCCAGTGAATTTTTCTTTTTGGCTCATTTTTTTAAAAGGTTAGCTTATGTCGCTGATGCTTAAAATGGCGTGCCAAAGTCAAGTGTGGTAGTGAGGCGAGGGCGAGGGCATTTTTCAAACTAAGACTAATGAAAGAAAAATAACTATAATTTTAACAACAAAATTTTTTCTTTGTGGCCCGGTACCAAATGATCTACGGACCGGTACCAGTCCAGGGTCCAGGGGTTGAGGACCCCTGATCTACTCTCACCCCAGTTAACTTCATGTCCTCTTTTAGCACATCCATATATCTCCTCTTTGGCCTTCCTCTTGACCTCTTGCCTGGCAGCTCCATCTCCAACATCCTTCTACCAATAAAACCACTATCCCTCCTCTGCACATGTCCAAACCATCTCAATCTGGCCTCTCTGACCTTGTCCCCAAAACAGCCGACGTCTGTTAAATATTAAGCTACAGACAGAAAACAGTTACCTTAGCTTAGCATTAGGACTGGAGACAGAGAGTAAAAGGTAACCTGGTTCTGTCCAAAGGGAAAGAAATGTTCCTTCTAGCACCTCGAAAGTTTAGTAATTAAAATGTCTTTATACTAAACAAGCAGCAACAATTAGCATATTTCCCAAAATGCCAACCTATTCCTTTAACTGTTTTGACTATATCATACATATTATCTGTATCTGTTAAAAACCAAACTGTTCTAACTAAAATTTGGCTTCTGCTGTACAGTAAATAATGTTAAAACTCAACACAAGAGAGTTTGTGTAAGAAAGTCCAGCTGAGCTAAGAGTGAGTACGATACACACCTGACCCTCCAAGAGCCATTTCTTCAGCAGAACCAGCTGCCCAGATCCCAGGTCTGAACTGTCAGAGGGCTCCTCCCAGCGGAACGCTCGCACCACCCGGTCTGTGTAGCCCACCACCAACTCGCAGCGTCCATCACCATCTACAGACATTCACACACACTGCAGTCAGATTCAAAAGCACTACACACAGGATACACATATAAGACTGTAACACAAATATTTACCAATATCACTGATAAGGATGACTTTGGTGTTGGCAGGAATATGCTGAGTGAAGAAGGGTTTCTGGTCATCAGATGACAGGAATTCATGCTGACTGGATGAATCAGCTTTGCTTGCACTGGCTGCTGTCAGGTCAAAGAGGTGAAACCAGCCCTCTGCACCCACAGCCACCACCAAGTTCTGCCAAACAGGAAAAACACAGGACATGTAGCATCACCCCTAACATGACATTCAGCTGTTTCTTATGGATCTTTCCTCACCTTTCCTCTGTTGCAGACGTCTGCAACTGCAACACAGGTCAGCTGTAAAGCCAAGACGCATGGCGTGAGTAAGAAGCCAAATTCACTCTATGGAATCATGAGTTTTTAATCCAGTGATCTTGTTACTGACCATGCCCACACAGGTTCTTGTGATCCAAGGTTTGGAGTCGTCATTCTTGTACACCAGGAGCTTCCCACTGGTGTCTCCTACAACCAGCTCATTCAGCTACAACGAACAGAGACAGCTTGTTTACTCTGATGTAATACAAAATAAGTAGTTAATTTGCAAAGACAACTCATTAAACCACTGTATAAAAATAACCTAAACGTGCTGTTAGTCATATTTATAATCTTCAGTTTGCTTTGGCTATACTTCTTTCATTTACTTGCTCCTCTTGTTATTAAATAAATAATGGACTGAGGCAGACAAGGCACAAAGAAGTTAATGTACCGCCTAATGCTGCATTATATATTTTTACAAGAAGGGAAAAAACTATGTCAAAAAGATGGGGTACACAGTTAACCCTTGTTTACCTGTTTTTATCAGGTATACTCAGATGGTTATACTCATTTAAAAGTCTTACGTTGGTTAATACCCATACGTGAGCAAATGTAGAGAACATTTTAATGCAACTCTGGTTGTAACTTTACGTATTGTAAATCATAAGTGAACAAATGAATGTAAAATATTTGTTTAAGTTAACTTTAGCTTCATATTACCGAGTCGTTGTCTGCATCACCCAGACAGATAGCGTGTGGAAAAAGAGTTCCTGTGAAATCCAAGCTAACCCGCTGGACATAGTTTAAAGCCCTCATATCTACTACGTTAGATTTAGATGTCTAAGTCATCTAAACATATAGGTAGCTTCCTCTTATATCTAAGTAATGTTAACGTTATAACTCGCGGGTTGGTAGCTAGCTTAGCTACCGCTATCTCTCCACGGATGAGACTGAGAAGAAAGATTTAAGGTTACTCTGACGTAGACAGCGCGAAATAATATACCTAATAGCTTTGTAGAATTACTTTCATATCGAAATAAATGTTACATTTAGCAGATATATAGTTGTTAGCTAAGTTAACCTAGGCACGGGTGACAGTAAACAAAACCATGTGACTTAAAAATCTACGGATGCTCAATATAGACAAAATAGCTATTTCTCAAATCTTACCAAATTAACTTATATATGTTATATAGAAAGTCACTTTCGGCTTTTCCCGTTTTAGGGGTCGCCACAGCGAATAATTTTTATATTTAAAAGTGTATGGCTGATATACACTGGAAAATATCACAAATAAAATTGGCAAACGTTTGACCCGTAGTGTATATATGCAATAGTCAACTGAGGTGCAATACTCAAATCCTGGGGGTAAAATGCACTGTAAATATGCACATATGTAAAATCTTGTTATTGATTTTCTCTCGAATACTTTATATTGTCTTGTTTTAGGTATTTTTGAGTAGTTCTTCAGAGATCCTCATGGCTGAACTACAGGTATTTTCCCCATTGCGGGATTAATTATGGGAGTAATATTCTTGTCCTTGATTTGTTTATCTCTTGAATACTATATCTTGTCTTGTTCTTAGGTATTTGATTTGTTCTCAGGGATTAGTTGTGGGAGGATCATTCTTGTTCTTGATTTTCTCTCAAATACTATATTCTTTCTGGTTTTAGGTACTTTGGAATTTGTTTTTCAATATATGTGTATAGTGTTTGTTCTTATGGTGTTTGTTGCTGCTCTCTATTGCTGCTGGAATACAGGAATTTTTCCACTGTGGGATCAATAAAGTCCTACCTACCTACCTATATATCATTTTGACCGACATCGTCGTTTATGTAAAAGGGAGATGAAATACTCCGCCTAGTGGCGGAATAGTGTCAGTGCACCAGAATGCAGGCAACCCTTCATTTGATGAATGAATTCGAATCATTACATTGACAAACTGAATCTGAATAGCTTAATGTGAAATTGAAGTTATTAGATTGGAATTGAATTCCAATAAACCTGAAACTGACTGTAACATTTTGAAATTGAATTCATCTGCTCTGAAACTGTATGTGATCCTCACCTATGTTTCAACTATCTACATACTCAGTTTCAGTTTTGTAATTCAATTTCATTCATGTCTCACACATCTGGGTCGCTCAGAAAAACACGATTGAGTGCAGATAGCGTTTCACGCTGTTATTAAAATAGCACAAAAATTCTCTTTAGCCTTAAGGCCATCTTTCTGGGCCTTATGAGCAATGACTGGATTCACAGGTTTGTATAAATGTATAAAATATATGAGAGGAAGCAATATACAATTGATAGCTTAACTGTATCTGCTTGAGCTGGTTAATATGGTTAGTGCTAAGTGCTTAAATGTGCTGCAGGTGGCAGCCTTGCAGACTGACTCTCCTACCAAAATTGGTGGGGACCCCCAGGTTTCCCCACCAGTGCCACCTGATGACAATGACTGGAACCTCATTGACCCACGGCAGCTCAAGTGTGACCAGAGCCAAGACTCTCTTCAGCCAGGTTCAGGCTTGGGTGGGGGCCGGCCAGCAGCCAATATGGACAGCAATCTCTGCTTGGGATGCAGAGACTAAAGCTGTCTACTCCCAGTGGACAAGCCTAGTCAACCAGGATGGCCTCTTGTACCACTGCTGGTGGGACCCTACGGCGCTCTGAGATATCCTGCAGGTCCTGGTGCCTTGCCATATCTGTCAGGATGCCCTCCAGCTGCTCAATGATTTGGTGGAGGTGGGCCACTTCTGCATCATAAAGACTGGCTGCAGTTCTGCTTCTACTGGCTGGGTTGTCAGCAAGACATAGAGCTGCATACTGTATTCACAGCTGTGACAACTATACATCTAGAAGGGGCCATGCTGATGCTCACACGGTCCCCTGCAGCAGTATCAGGCGGTGGCCCCAATGGAACATTGGGAGCGGACATTCTGGGCTCTTTTCCCACCACAGATCAGGGGAACAGTTATATCCTTGTGGCCATGGATTATTTCACAAAGTGGCCAGAGGCATACATGGTCCCTGACCAGAGCGCCTAGTCTAGTTCAGTGTGCCCAGGGAGCTGCACAATGTCCAGTGGAGGAACTTTGAGGATGAGGCATTTGGTGAGGTCTGCCAGTGGCTAGGCATCAAAAAGACGGACTATGCCACTGCACAATTACAACATTGATGTGTTGATGGAGGCGTTCAACTGCACGCTGACCAAAAGCAGGCCTATGATGTCTGCTGCAAGGAAGAGGATTTTGCCCCTGGCATACTGGTGTATGCCAGGTGATTTACAGACCTGGATGAACTCATGACACTGTGACATCATACATCAGTTTATGTGAGGACATATGTGTGCCCACCAAGACCTTCTGCACATACATCAGCAACCTGGTTCACAGTAAAACTCAAGCAGCTTCATCATGCCGAAGAGGAGGCCTACAGAAGTGATTTTGATTTTTGATTTGATTTATTCTTTCAAACATGTAAAGACAGTCAATATGTCAACACACATAATTTCACACATATTCACAAATGCATTATCAATTTGCTTATACCTAGTACATGCTTGAACGGAGTAGGAAGAAGTCAGACTTATCCAGTCCTACCCCATGACATCATCTTACCATCATTGGTTTGCAAACAGTATCTCTACATAGATAATTCTCTTCTACACCACACAAGTAATATACTAACAAATTATAACAGAGTGTTAACATTCTTACATAATTACATACTTTGATAATTATCTTCTACATCACACAAGTAGAATTATTACATAGTGTTAACATTCATACACCACACCCACAATGTTCCACCTAATTAATCATTGAGCCTGTTCTTGCATATATCTTGATTGACACATACCTTTATATTTATGTTTAAACTCGTCAATTCTATTACTATTTTTTATGTCTACACTTAAATTATTCCATAGTTTTACCCCACTTATGGAAATACAAAATCTTTTTTTGGTTGTACGTATAGCATGAATTTTTAAATTTAACTGACCCCTTAAATTGTATCCCCCTTCCCTTTCATTAAATAGTTTTTGAATTCCACCAGGTAATAAATTGTTCCTGGCTTTATACATAAACACTGCAGTCTTATATCCCACTAAATCAAAAAAGTCCACTCTACTGGACTCAACTGTTCTACTCTGTCTACTCCACTTCAGTCTACCAGTTCACTTGACTGTGCTTCAGACCACTTCAAGGATAAGCTCACTTTATTTTAATCTGCATTTCCCGTATCACCTTCTCTGTGGTACACATTCAGGGAACAAGAAGTTGTTACCGGGGCAAGGGTTTAGCCTCTGAAAGAGTTCAGAATAAATGTAATGTCAGTCAAATGGTTTGTCGTGCTTCTCTGAGTCAAAGATTAGGCTTGGGCTGCAGGCTGAGGCTACCTACCCAGGCCTAATCTTTGCTTTCCTTCTGACTCAGAGAAGCATGACATTACATTTATTCTGAACTCTCTCAGAAGCTAACCTTTTGTTTTCCTGAATCTCTACAATTAAAAAGTTTTCAGTCAATGACCCTTCGATGTCCAACCTTTCATTTACACAATTATTTGACTCATCTGTCTCTGAAAAGGTGAATGTCCAGAGCTTGGTGACTGTCCAGGTCCCATTGCCCCAGTACATTTCTGCAGTGATTCACAGGGCAAGGCCACATTGGTATCTTGCCAGAAAAGAAGAAAGACTTAAGAGTTCTGTGCAGTTTAGTCACACCTGACACATCCAGTAGTGTGTTCATACAAGTCGCATCCCAACAGCTGCCACATGTAGTAATGCAATCTGCCAGAGGCCTTCCATACAGGACAGACATTTCATCAGGAATAGTGCAAGTGCACCAGAACACATGCAGTGTTTCATTTCACTTCTTTCTTGTTTTTCTTTAGATGACAAGAGAAATAAATACTGTGTAAAATTGCTAAAGGTGAAGGTACTAGAAGTGAGACTGTGTTCAAAAATATGCCACGAATCATTTTATCAGTGAAGTTTATAAAAAAAAAATACAGTAAAGAAGAAAACAAATTGAATCAGTTTAATATTTGGTGTGATCATCAATTCTTTATGAGTGTGGCTGGATGTTTGGGATGTTTCCTGCTGTAGAAAGCATTTAGGGTGGATGAGATACCTCTCATGTTTCTACGTGATAAATAAGAAGCTAATAATCTTAAATGCTGAAACATTTTTCACAATTCTTTTAAATGTTTGTCATCTTGACAAAATTACACATTCAGAAACGTCTATATTACAACAGAAAACCTTTATTTCTCCTCCGAACACCTGTCCCTGGTTGTTCCTCGGGCTAGGTACAAACAATGGGGAGAACACCCTTTTGTCGTGTATGGCCCCAGGCTTTGGAACTCCCTACCACCAGAGCTTTGGGCCGAAACTGAGCCGGTGGCTTTTAAGTCAACTCTGAAAACCCATCTTTTTAGACAGGCCTTTGGTATTTAGCTCGTCCTAATCTTAACTCGTTTTTAACTCGTTCCCTGTTGTTTTATGCTGTTTCTTATTTTGATAGGGATGTCTTTTATTTTGGGGTTTTTAATACTTGGTAGTTTGTTTTGTATAGGTTTTTGTTTTAGTACTGTCTTGTATTAGTGTCCTTTTGTGAAGCACTTTGGGCTCCTGCCGAGTTGTAAAGTGCTATATAAATAAACTATTATTATTATTATTATTATTTATTTAACTTGACCGCCTGTTTCTACTGTTAGTTTGGTATTGCACAGATTTAACAAGTTCCATTGTTGTCCTCTAGAGGACGCTGCTCTATCACAACTTTTCATGAGGTTAGAAAACGACACTGTCAACAGGCAGTTGTGAGACATCAAAGAAGCTGCAGAATCCACCACAGACGTCGCTTATTGTAACTGTATGGGTGGCTTTTTTTAAAGCTTACTCTTACGGTATTATTTCGTACATTGCATTTAAATGCCACTCGGTTGTTGTAGTTTTGTGTGAATGATGTGAAAAACTAATAAAAAAGTTGGTCAAAGAAGCACACAGTAACTTTAGCACAACGTTACATTACCTTTGTTGCAGTATTCACGGAAGTAAGTTTTTGCACATACAATATGTATTTTGCATGTTAAAGGTCGACTACAAGGCCAAACGTTGGTCTTTACGCACATAGCCCATCCACCGCATTTGGTGCACCTGCCTAAAGTAAACAAGACACTTGTCAGAAAACCTGTTTCTAATGACAAACAAATCGAAAGATAATGACTTACACGCACACACCCACAAACACGCACAGATCATTATGGGTGCTTAGGAGTTTTTGTTTTATTATCTCCCAAAACCTAACTCCCTAAAGAAAAGAGAAAAATACAGAAAGTGTTTGAATGGGAACTCGGGCGCCCAGATGTCATATTAATTATTACACTCAGCTATGACTGGAAAGCCCCTCAAGTAAAGTGAGCGCTCTTCCAGCCTCTGGAAGAGCAGCAGCAGTAGCAGAGAGGAGGAGAGAAAGTCCTCACAAAGCGCTAATTGGGCTCTGGAAGCACACTGACAGGCCATGGATAGGTTTCAGAAAGCCTGGCGATGGCGAAGGGGGGCAGGGCAGGCTGAATAGAGCCCACGCTTCTTTTCTAAACTCTTGCTGGGCCAAAACGGGAGGGAGGGAG